TAAGTTTTTCACAGTAGCAAAGGCTCCAAAAAAGAACATCTGAGCAGCACAGGCATTGTAGGAAATTATCCTGTAAGGAGTACAGCCATGACCGTGGGAGTGACAGCTGAGGAGCTTTTAATGTCCACCAGAGACAGATAACCAAGAAAAAAGTACCGGGGAGTGTGGAGGCAAAAGTCCCAGGGAATCAGTATGATAATTCCCAGGTTCCCAATTACATTGATGAGATAGATAAGAATGAACATGATCGGGACCATCAGTTGGCGTAATGGCCATGTTGCTAGACTCCCATGTAGTCTACTGCGGCTCAAGTCCTGGACCCAGTAGCTTAAATTCATGCTGGGCGTGTGTGCATGTCTGCCCAAGATCCTGAGAGGAGAAGGGATTGTGATGTGGCCATCCCCCCTGTGGGGTAATTTCCCACTTTCTGTCTCTCTGTTTCTGTCTTTCTGGTGAGCACACATGCCCTATAGCAAAAAGCTCTCCAAAGGAAAAAAAAAAAGAGAGAGATTCTCCATAACTAAAGCATAGACAAAATTGTGTTATCTATACAACTCCAGATTGTTTAATGACAAAGTTTTATGAATCATCTCTTTAGTTTTAAAATTTGTTTCAAAACTGAGCTTGGACAATTTAATGAATTGTTCAATATAATAATTCTGAAATTAATGTCTGGATAGTCTTTTTCTAGCCCTGTAAACTGTGAAATTTCTATGCAGCTACTCTGCCAGAAATAGCTATAGATATTTTTGCTTCTACATTTGCTAAATATTCTCTATGATTTATAATGTTTAACAGGGGTTACTTTCATTTAGAAATAGACGTTGAGTAACATATTCATATCTACAGTAGTATTAATTGGCATACCAAACTTTGGTACCAGACAGCACAGTTATCAAGTCAAATTATCTAAAATAATTTGAAACCAAATGAAATTACTCATTGTCTCCATTAGTGCCAACCCAAGCTTAGGGTTTTGCAGTGAATCAGTAGAGAGATCCAGGTGTAGTTGGTGTGGAGGGATGACTGGGACACTATGGAAATCTGTTTTGGTGGAAAGTACATATTTAAGAATTATTATTTGAGGGCTGGCTTTGCAGCATTGCAGCATATTGCTTAAATCCTGTGTGTAGTGAGCTGGATCTCACATGTCCACCTGGAGTTCAAATCCTCACTCCCGATGACTTGGGAAATACGACAGATGGTTGTGCCTGCATGTGGTGGAAAGTCCTGATGGATGAAGAAAGGGAGAGAAGATTGCTGTGTGACCTCATCTCATGGAGGGGTGCTTTCTTTCTCTCTCTCTCTGTCTTTCCCTCTCTGTCTCTGGTGAACACACATTTCCTCTGGCAATTAAAAAATATATATTTGAGGGACCAGCAGTTAGCATAATGGCTATGTTGCTGGACTCCCATGTACTTGACCACGGTTCACGTCCCGGACATGGTGGCTTAAAACTCACGCTGGGCACGTGTGCGTGTGTGCCCAAGATCCCAAGAGGAGAATGGAGGAGAAGGAATTGCGGCGTGGCCATCCCCCCCGGGGGGTGATTTCTCACTTGTCTGTCTCTCTGTCTCTCTCTATCAGTCTGGCAAGGGCACACGCCCTGTAGCAAAAACCTCTCGAAAAAAAAATTTTTTTTGAATCAGTTCTGCATAAATGCAATATTTTAATTATTTTTTATTTCTATTTCTTTTATATATTCAATTGCATTACTTAGTTTAAGAAGCGAATATTCCAACATGTGTACATTTCTCACCACTCCAATTCACCATTCTAGAAAGTTACCTTCAATAGATAATAATCCATTTCTTTGTCCCATAAATGCCTTGCCTCTCTATTTTTCGCCTTAATGTCCTTCCTCAGACTCTTCTCCTTCATTCACCCTCTTCCCACACTGTATCTGGTATTCATAACCATATTCTTAAAAGTTTCTATAACTGTTAATCATTCAGTTTTAGGCATAATTTGAATTTTAAGCCTTTGGAATGGCCAGTGGTTAAACGAAGTGGAAGTGTATCCATCATCAGCTGTGTATTAGTCCCTATTATTCTCCTTCCATTTCTTTCACAGCTTCAGTTTATGAGCCTGGCACATGAGAGCTTTATGTTTCCCGACCTAAGCACATACACTCATTTGTGGCATATACCATATTCTGCAACAGATGATAAGAGCATTATAAATAGTTATCTGTGGATTGTGTATGTGTGTGTATATTTGCATGCATGTATATGTATCATTTTTACCTGCCATTAAAGGAACTGATTATATGTGACGTTATGAGGTTCTCTACAATCCCACAGTTAGTATGAGGAAGATTCAAGATCCAACACTTGAGTCCAATTTTATCCTAACCCATAGTCTCTTCTTTGGCACTATGACTATAATATGTGCAGGTGTGCTAATATCCTAAGGCCAAGACATGCAGTTCTGAGGAAATATAAGATTTTGCTAATACCTTCTAGAATGCCGGGGACTAGCTGATGATATGGTGGTTATGAGAGGTAGACCCCCACATGGCCAACTGCACAGTAGGAAACTTGAAAAAAAACATGCGCATGTGTGCCCAACATAACAAAGGGAGGAAAATTTAGAGGAAGAAGGATTGTGACGTGACCATCGCCACAGAGAGTGATTTCTCACAGTCCCTTCTCTCCCTCTCTCTCTCTGAGTGTGTGTGTGTGTTTCTCTCCTGCAAGTGCAGTACACACTGGCAATTTTTTTTTAAAAAAAGAGAGAGAAAGCAGAATGATGACTTTTCATAAATATCACCAGACTCTTTAACTGATGAAATTTTAATATCTGGAACCAGCTCCACTTCAATATTTTAGAAAAATGTTCAATACCTCCATTTCTGTGCTCAAATAACTCATAGCAGGTACAACACCCCACTACATTTACATGAATTACAATTTTTACTGAAAGTGTATATTAAACTAAAAGATGCTTTCTTAAAGAAATAATTGACAGTCAATCCTAATCATGTGTTTGAAACCAGAAATTCTTTAATGGAAGAATGTATAAAAGTTAGAGCAATTCTACGGAAAGTAGTCATAAAAGATTCTGAGACCTCAAAAGAAAGAACAAAATAAAAAGACACTAATATCCATTCAGGTCCTAAATCTATCGTGCATTCTTTGGTGTCCTTCAAGAGTCACTTCCTTTATCTTTTTCTGAAAATAAATATGAAAAAAAAAATCTTACCTGCCTAATTCACTGAATCATATTCATAAAGAACCAATAAAGAGGATATCTAAAAGACATTACTATAAAGCTGGGAACCAGCAGTAGGCGTAATGGCTATGTCGCTGGACTCCTACTTAGTTGACCGCGGTTCACGTCCCGGATCTGGTGGCTTAAAACTCACGCCGGGCATGTGTGCGTGCGTGCCCAAGATCCCGAGAGGATAATGGAGGAGAAGGGATTGCGGCGTGACCATCCCCCCTTGGGGGTGATTTCTCGCTTTCTGTCTCTATGTCTCTCTCTGTCTGTCTGGCAAGTGCATGCGCTCTAGTACATACCCCTCCTCATGCCACTTTCACAGGGAAGAAGCGATTAAACTTCATGGGTTATTTTGAATATGTGCAAACACAATGCCATTACCTGTTATTCCTTTTAAAATTTTAACTAACATATCATTTACTAGCAGTAATAAACACATTTCAGTGTATAGCTCAAAAATTTGTTCATATACGTATTCATGTAACCACTAACATGGTCACCCATAATAAATTTCTTAACGCCCCATTCCCTAGAAAACACTATTTTGGGTTTATTTTGTCCATATACTTCTGCTTTTGAAGAATGTCCTTAAGTAGCATCCTAGAATATGTAGTCTTGCTTCCGGTACCTTTCACTTATTATAATGTATGAAGGTTCCTCCATATTGTTTCCTCTATCAGTGGTGGTATTTTATTTTTTCTAGACAAGTTGTATTTACTTTGAATTTATACATTGTATTTCCATTCCTTGGTTGAGGTACACTGCTTGGTGGTTACAAATAAAGCTGCTTTAACTGTAAATTTCCCTAAGTTTTTCTGTATTGCCATAAAACTTTATTTCATCTGAGTAAATACCTACGAAGTGCTTCCCAGTTCGCTCTGTTAAAACTGCAATACTTCTTTCCAAAGACAGAAATATCAAAGAAAATAAATTACAGATCAAAATCCCTCTTGAATATGTAACAATATACTAAAAACGCTAACTGATCAACTCCATCAGTATACTAACATAATTACCATCCATGGTGAGTAGAATTCATTCCAGGAATGTTGAAATGCTTCAATATACAAAAATCTTTCAGTGAAAAAGTAACAGTATGCTAAAGGGCAAAGAAACATGATCATTTTATTAATCTAGCATAAATGTTGCCAAAATGTTGCATTCTATCATGATAAAAATATCATTCCAAAAGCTAAGAATTTCCAGACTGTGAAAAACATTTATAAATAGAACATAATTAACATACTCAAAAGTGAAAGACAGGTTCCTACTGTGGAAACCTCTGGGATGCTGCTGCTTGGGAGGCTGAGGACACGTGGGAGACAAGGGATTGATTCTTGGTGGTTTGTCCCTATAGTTCTAGTCATAGGGAGGCTGGGGAAGGAGACAACAAGGCCTCCTCTAAATCACTTTGCACACATACACAAGTACACACACATTAAACATTTTTTTAAAAAATTAACTTTATTTATTTATTCATTTATTTTATTTTAATTTGACTAGAGAAGGTGAGTGGAGAGAGAAAGTGAGACAGCAAGCTACCAGGGGCAGGACTCAAACCACGGTCAGCCATGTGAGAGTCCAGTATCCTTAACTGGCTCCCAAACATTATTTTTTATTGTTTTGCTACAGGGCACGTGCACTCACCAGACAGACAGAGAGAGACAGAGAGACAGAAACCGAGAAATCACCCCCCAAAGGGGATGGCCATGCCGCAATCCCTTCTCCTCCATTCTCCTCTCGGTATCTTGGGCACACACGCACACGTTCCCGGCGTGAGTTTTAAGTCACCGGATCTGGGAGGAGAACCATAGTCGACTACATAGGAGTCCAGCGACATAGCCATTACTCTAACTGCTGGTCCCCCAAACATAATTTTTTAAAGTTGAATGGCCAGCAACTTCACATATGAGGTATTCCTGCTTTTAGAACCTCTGTTCAAAATTGTACCAGGAAGTCTATCCAAAGCAATTAGGCAAGACAAACTACATTAAAAGGTATCCAAATAGAAATGGAAGAAATAAAACATCTCTGTTTGGATCAGCACAAGGAGGGAACAGCAAGTACGAATTCCCTGACAGGAACTTACAGATAGTAACAACTATCTGAAAGACTGGTATGAGTGTAGTGAGATAAAAAGCTAGGAGTGACAAGTGATGGCATAACATAAGTGAAATATAGGTGAATAAGTGTTGTAGCATTATAAAGCACTTGTAGAGAGACAAATATAGAGCATTATTAATATAATCAGTACATGTTTTGAGAGAGATTTTTGCTATAGAGTGCATGTATTCACTGGAGAAACAGAAAGACACAAAGTACGAACTCACCCAACCGCCCAAATGTCCAAGAAGGGATGGGCAAGCCATAATAATTCCTTCTCCATTTTTCTCGTGTGCACACTTACCTGGCATGTTTCAAGCCAGCAGCTCTGAGACTAGAACTGCAATCAGCAAATGGAAATTCAGCACCTTAACTATAATAACACCTGCTGGTCCCACTCAGTACATATTTAAACAGTGTGAGATGTTTGTGGTCATATACAAATACATTACTTCAAAATGCATTGTGGGGACCAGCAATTAGTGTAATGGCTATGTCGCTGGACTCCCAAGTAGTTGACTGCGGTTCGCGTCCCGGACCCAGCAGCTTAAACTCACGCCGGGCGTATATGCGAGCATGCCCAAGATCCCGAGAGGAGAATGGAGGAGAAGAGATTGTGGCATGGCCATCCCCCCTGGGGGG